AGGTAAACAACTCACCACTCCAAAACCAGACAAAAAATGGAAAAAACAGAAAGCATCCAAAGGTTCCCCTGCATCCAGTGTGGAAGACCAAGGCCCAAAAATAAGAATAAAAGAAGCTGCTGTGCTTTATGGCGCTGGTCCTCCACTGAAGTGATTCTGCCTGCCAGGGAACACTGGGTGACACCTGGGGATATTTTTGGTGGTCATGCCTGGGAAGAGGATCGACTGGCACCTCAAGGGTAGTGACTAGGAATAATACTAAGTATCTTATGATGGACAGGACAGCAAAGGACTGTCTAGCCCGACTATCTGGGGGAAAACATGGCACAGAACAAAACAAAACAAAAACTACTTTCCCATCTTGTGAGTGTCTTAATAAAACAAACCAGTGTCCAGACAGCTAATCAGAAGTAGAGTCTGGACATTTGTCCCTAAAATTTAGATTCAACCCTTATCACTCACTCATGCTCAAAAGCAACAAAACCCTACATTCATACTTAACATTGTAGAACTCAAGAACAAACAGACATAGTAACAGGGCTGCACGAAGTCTGGCCCACCATCAACCAAGAACAGTATTAGCACCCAGAGAAGAGCACCCATCAGCCGCTGGAAGTAACAATGCTTTTCCCTTAGTTTTAAAATTATATCAATTCAGGAGGCTGAGGCAGGAGGGTCACCATGAGTTCAAGGCCAGCCTCAGGTACAGAGTTGGTTTAAGGCCAGCCTGAATTACATAGTGAGACCCTGTCTTAAAAAAATAAAAAACTATATATATTAGTTCATCTTAAGCAGCCACGACATGGATACTACATTTGAGTTTTAGAAAGCCAGATTCAGTGTGGAGGAGGGGCACTTTGTAGCTCAGTCCCACATCTAATGTGCTACCTACTGAGACCCAAGGCCAGCATACATTAACAGGTATGTTCCTTGCTTTAACCTACGTTTATAAGTTATGTGGCTCATACCAAAAGACAGAGGTATTTGTATATATATTCAATACAATTTGTGAAGAATTATTGCTCTTCACTTGTTCCCTCAATCTTTTGAGACATTTTCTTCACCAGTCCAAATGCAATGGAAATTATAATTCTTGGTAAATGAGATGCATATACTTTAAATCCCTGCCTTGTAACTCTTTTTCTGGTTTATTAGGAAGTTTCTGAACAGAGCATCAAAACTGACTTATAGTATTCCTTCAGGAATCTCAGGATATTAGGATGTAACATTTGATAGTTAATGGAAGAACAGCATAACTATATAAATTGTATGACATATCTCAATAAAGCCACTTTTAAAAGCTAATGGAGTTTCCATTTTACTGGCTTATTGGTTTCATTAATTTACTCAACACATCTAGGAAAAGCGAGTATCTTGGAAGGCCACAATTTGCCAGACATGGTGGCACACGCCTAGAATCCTGGCATTTGGGAGGCTGAGGCAGGCTGAGGCCAGCCTGAGTTACTGAGACTCTGTCTAAAAAAATAAAAAATTAAACTATTCATATTTGCAACAGCAACCCTAAGTGCTACCCTTATAATCAAGCCTTGTGATGCCCCCACCCACCACCGAAATCTTTTACTAACCAAATAACAACCTAAAAAAGTAGTCTGAGTCACTGACAAGTTTTGCTTTCTAAAAGAACAAACAGGTCTTTACCCTCCCTAGCAGAGAACTACAAAGGACCTAACAAAAGTTTCCCAGAACAAACATTACTCAAAAAACTGAGAACAACTATAGCAGAAATTCTTACTTGAATAAACAACAGAGATAGCAGCAGAGAACAAAGCTAAAAACTACTGTGTGGCTCAACATACATAACCAATAGCTCTCAGCTTATATAAACTTGGGTTTTCAAATCCTGGCCCAGGCTCACACTATGAACTGAATGACTCTCCTGCTGGTCAAGCGAGGTCACCTCTGAAGCAAGTGAAGAAAGCAAATACCTATGCAGCATTGATACAGATACCAAAATATTGTACTTTTCTAATTATCTTTTAAATAGAAAATTATTTCCCATTTAAATGATACTCTTCTGAACACAGAAGATGTGGAACTATTATTTTCAGGCTGCAATGTTTTCTGCAGGAATGCATCAATTTTTTTTCTGGGCTCAATGAAAAAGTTCAATCTAAGTTGTAGAAAATTAGTTATAACTTCTCAATTGGTTTTGTTGTTGTTGTTGTTTGAGTCAGGGTGTCGCTATGCAATTCAGGTTAGCCTCAGATTTGCAACAATCCTCCTGCCTCAGCCTCCCTCCTAGTGCTGGCATTACAGGTGTGCATCACTATGCCACACTAACTTCTCAATTTGTAATATTGTACTTAAACAAGTCCATAGAGTGTTTTTCAAAATGGTACACAGAAAAAAATGTTTTACCAAGCTTTCTTCAAGCTTCTTCTACTTTAATTTACTGCAATTAATCTGCTAGCTCAATGCATTATTATACAAGCAATACAAGAAAATTCTTTTTTGTTTTTTACAAGCAAATGCTTAAGAAACCACGTAGGATAAAATACGTGAACAATATTAATGCAAAATTAGCTGTCTTTTCACTTGAGAATAGGAAAATGGAATACGAGAAAGGGTCATCACAAAATAAGTATTGTAAACACTTGAAACATACAAAAAAAACTTTTTCTGCTTTAATTTCAGGGGGAAATGGGTTAATTGATATTGCCTGTTTGACTTTGTTTTTAATTAGTGATAATCAAAATTATCAAGAGTACTATCCCAGGGGAGAACACTATAATATGGCAGTAGCTATTGGCTATTAACTTTCAAGTAATTGTTTACTTTTAATTTGCAAACTAAACTAAGAGCTAATTTATCTAATTAATGCAATTTTCAGTAACGGTACCTATGCACCATAATTTAGAAAGGTTAGGAAAATATTTTTAAATCAAGTATGTACAGAATCACATATACATGTTCCTTCAATTTTTTGTAGTATTGTTTACATGCATGATTTTTTGTACCTTTTGCCATTTATATACAAATATATTTAATTCAGTACATACCATAAGTAAATCCATGCATTTTTATGGTAGTTGCAGATAATGTGGTTAACTTCAGCAGACATCTGTGCTATACATATGGCCATCAAAATAATCATGTCATGCTTTTGTGACACCGAAAGAGACCAAGCCTGTTGTGAAATGATTCCTTCCAACAAAAGCCTGTTTAAATTATTGTTTAATTATATGGCATACAGCCAAAATAACAGTATTAGAAAGTTGATGTTGCCTTTGACTCACCAATTTTCAACTTCTTTGCAAAACAAGATAAGCACCATCAGGTTACTAGAAATAACTTGAATTCAGATTTTTGATTCATGCTTCTCAGACAAAATTATTTCATTTGATCCCAAATCCTGGCTGCTCCCTTGGCAGAATAACAGCCATGGGCCACTGCAGACAGGGGATGGCTTTCATGCTTGCACAAGAAGCTCCACTGGGGATGACTCTAGATTCCAGATGAATTTGGACTCAGCACTTCAGAAAGACTTCTTTGTTGTTTTAGTACCAAATCATCACTTATCTTTTTCTAATCGTTTTCACTCCCCACACCACAGAGAATCTCTTTACTACTGAGAACTTAGGGAGTTTTACAATTTTTGCCTAATTTCTTAGGCAAAATGTTACCTCATCTTGTAAAGTAAGTTCCTAATTTCTCTGGACCAGTGAGGTGTTTGAGTACTGAAGTTAGAAGTACAAAATGAACACTCTCCTCCAAAGACTGTTCTATTAGTCACAAAAGAAAACACAAAGAATCTGACTGAATTCTGCTGACTGTAACTACTGAGAAAACAATACTCAAAACAATTTCCTACAGAAAAGATCTCTAACAAGTTGCAGCTTTAACTGGTCGCTTTTGCCCCTTTCTCCTGCTAAGACACCTGTGAAATTAGAACTCTGTGCTCCAAATAGGGCATCAACGCTGAGACTTCTAGCCAGAAACAGTTACTCTAGTGTGTAACGCTGTGTAAAGATGATTCGCAGAAGTAAATGCCCAGGACCTAACTCTTCAGGCTTACCTTTTGACATTACAAGACTAAGAGGGGACATTTAGCGGCCGGAACTGGATTTCTCAGCCAGTTCAGCTCTACGGGCGGAGGGGGAGGTCTCTTTGCACCAGACTCAGCTGCTGCTTTATGGAAAATACCTCAGTGATTTAAAAGTAAAGGGGAAAGGGAAACAAAACAAGCCCAGGTTTTGGATCGCCGGTAGGAGGTTAAACTGTTCCGAGAGCGAAACAAGCGCGCAGGCGCATCCTCAGGTTGCCAGGAATAAACGTAAGAACTCATCAACATTAAGGAAGTGTATCCTGCAAGCTCCGCAGCCTTTTTGTTTGGGTTCCCTAGGTTAAGCGTAGCAATTGCGTTTTTAATGACTACAAACAGGAGCAGACTTATTACCGAATCGCTTTGAGAGATGTTTACTTTTAAACGTGCGGCTCAAACCAGTTCGCTTTCGGAAAAGGGAAATTATTTTCTGTGCAAACGTAACACTGCCCAACGACACACCCAGAGAACACAATCACGACGGCCCAATTAATGTGTTTTAAGATGTGAACTTCCCACGAAAGCTATCAAGAAAAAAATACCCTCAGCAAAGCCAAGTCGAACCTTGTCTTTAACACCGGGGTGGGGTGCAGCCTGCATACTCAATTTTGCGCCTCCGTGGGAACCGCGAGGTTCCCAGGGGCTTTGCTAGGAAACCTGGACCGGTAGAGTTTTGCTCTCTGCTGCAGGACCGCGTACTGCAGCGGAGAGTGGGTGCCTGGAATCACCTTTGCGAAGTCAAACTTGCTTTATGAAGGAATTCGGTTAACCCACCCTGACACGTCCCCCCCGCTTTCGGGGAGCGGCGGGCAGCTGCCTCTCCTTCCCGGCGCGCACAGACGCAGCCCCGGCCTCGGTGGGTGACAGCCCCGAGACAAAGCCGCGGGCCCCGAGCCCCCGGGGCTGCAGACCCCCGGGACGCGCCCCCGGCGCCTACCTTGATGCCTTGCTGCTGTGTGGTGAGGGTTAGCTTGGATTCATCCAGGAGCAAAACTTCACAGTAAAATTCTTCCGGAACAACGCAGAAACAGCCCATGTCGGCGGAGACAGTCCCCAGCCAGGCTGTGAGAAAGCAGCGTCCGAGCCGCCGAGCCGCCCCCTCTCCTCAGGCGCGAAGCTTTAATTTATTGTCCGAGCTGTAGCGAGGGAGGGAGGAGCTGCTCCCGGGGGTCCGGGGCCGCAGCCAGGAGGCGGAGAGGGCCGGGGAGTCAGCGCCCCCCCGCCGCCCGGGCAGAGCACGAGGAACAGGGCCCCCAGGGCAGCGGCGCGGCCCAGCGCATCCTGAGGCTCCGGCCCTTCCGAAGGTGGGGGGCGCGCGGCGCCTCGGCGGACCTGAGGAAGACAAATCGTTTGGCAACGGGTGCAAGAGACAAGAAAAGGAAGGAACCGGGAAGTCCCGCAGCTCCCTCCACCCGCGCCAGGCGAGCGCGCCGCCACTCACCCGCCGCCCCTCTGCCTCGGGTCCCCAGCGGGCGTGCACATCCAGCCCCCACCGCCCGGCCGGCGAGTGCGGGCCTCTCTCCCCAGGCTGCTCTTTTGTGTCAGGGGTACCCACCTCAGCCAGGCGCGCAGGGAAGGGCAGTGGCTAGCGTGGTCACTCGGGCGACTCCCTCCAAACCCCGGTCGGCGGAGACCCAGAGGGTTCCAAAGGGCAGCGGGCGCCTTACCGAGACCAGCGAGGGGCGGTCAGCTAGTGGTGGGGCGCGGCTCCCGCCCGAGGGAGCCCGAACTCATCCCCGGAGCCCGGGGTGACCAAGTTCAAGCTCTGTCTCCTGGACTGTGCTGGCGCCGCGGCGGAGTGCTGCCGCTTCTGCAGGACTTCGGAAAGGCAGGGAGTCGTAGGAGCTGCAGGCGGTGGCGCGGAGAAGCCGGCGCCCGGCAGGGAGCGCGGCGGGAGGTGGGGGCAGGGGGTGCCCGGGGTGCGCCAGGCCGCGAGGGCTCCGGGGAAAGTTCTTTCGGCGACTCGAGGGGTAGTGCCGCGGGCGGGAGCAGCCCAGGTGCAGCGGGTCCGATCCAGACCTCAGCCAAAAGCCCCGGAGCGTATCGAGAGCCCCTTCACCGCCGCAGGGGCGCCCCTTCTGGGCGGGGTCTCAACCGAGGGCTGAGGGCGGAGCAGAGGTGTACAAATGGCTAGGTGCCCACAGGTCCGCGCGAGGAAGCCGCGCGCTATGCCCGAGCCGAGCCGCTGTCCCAAGCGCGTTGGGTCGGTTTCCCTAGGAGACCGGGAGGCTGTCTCAGGCGGGGCAGGGCGCAGCTGGGCTCCGACCCCGGCCCTCGGCGATCCCAGCCCGACGCCCTCCGCGCAGCCGGCCGTGTCCAGGACAGGAGGACACAATAGCTCTGAGGCTGCAGTGACCCCTGGTGGGTCCTTGAGTCCGTGCACAGTCAACGGCGCTGAATTGCGGACCTGGCAGGGCCCCTCTGGCCTGCGGAGCAGGTGCAATCTGTGACCTCCGGCTGGGAACCACCAGCGAGTTAATCAGAGTCACAATGAAGAGGAGACACGGGATGACACGGGGCAGGGTGAACGTGGGCCTCACAGAAAACTTCTTTGCTCTACATTGGTATTAGAGTAAGAGCTTTGGTATCAGATAATCTTGAGTTCCTTCCACCACTTGCTAGCTTTGGTAGCCAAAACTCTAAATGTTTGCTAAAACCAAGGTCATTAATGCTAACACACACACACACACACACACACACACACACACACACACACACGCACGCACAACCTAGCTTCCACGGAGTAGTAGAAATAAAACGAACAATTGGCAACGTGGAAAGTTTCCTTCCATGGTGATTTGCCAAGAGCTTGCTCCGAAGTCTCATCCTTCTCTGCTATTGCGGGCCCATCTAAACTGTGAATCGGCACAACCCCAAAGTGCCACAAAAATCTCCTGTTTGGCATTAACTTTACCCAAAACCATGAATAAATCCCTATTTTTTCTTCCAAGTTTCCTGGGAAATTGAAGTAGATTTTGAATTTCTAATCAAATTCTGTTTCCAATTTGGGGTTTATTGTTAAAACATTTTGTCCAGTTTATGAGCTGATGTCTCTGTCTCTGTTTGTGGAGGGTTTTCTTTTCTGTAATATTCTCCCGACCCCGGTTTCCAAATGTGATTGAAAGACGTCATAATAAATTCCCACTCTTTACTGCCGCGTTCAACAGAGCCAACTGAGCTTGCAAAAACAAGAGAAAAGGTCCGAGCATAACCTTTTGCTTCCCAATTTTGAGTTTTGCAACCACCTGTTTTATGGTTCTTTGCCTTGGTTTTTTTGTGTTTGCTTTTTTACCTCCAATGTAATGGAAAGGATGGGAGTTTGAAGGGCCAGGAATTCTGCCCCAGGCTGCTCAAAGGGAAGGTACAATGACATGCCCCATACCATGACAGCCTATTCTGATTGAGGCATTTTCTTTTCATTTCTTTGTCAAGGGCTAGAGAAAAGAAAAATTTTAAATGTGTTTAACCAAAATGAGAGCTCTTTAGAGATAAGATTCCAGATTTTTGAGCAGCATTATTAGTATATGTTAGCAACCATAAACTGCATTTACAGTTGAGTAGGTTTTGACATATGCATACACCCAGAAAACTATCAGCACAATCCAAACAAGCTACTAAACATACCCATCACCCCCTCAGAATTCCCTCCTGCACCTTCACAATCCCCTCCTTCCCAACCCTCACCAGAGCTCCCTCCCGGGCAAGCACAGATCTGCTTTTTGTCCCTATAGATCATCCACACTCTCTAGAGTTTATGTAAATGGAATCACACCATGTCAACTTTTTTTTGTCTGATTTGTTTCACTTGGCACAACTATTTAGAGATTTATCCACATTGCATATATAAGTAGTTGATTCAATTTTATTACTTAGTAGTATTCCATTGCATATAAATACTATAAATATTTTCCTATTCATTTGGTAGGCATCCAGTTTTTGACTATTGCATGTAAAGCTGTGCATATCCAATTAGTCAGCTCAGTAAGCCACAATAAACACCATAGACTGGATGACCCAAAAACAGACATTTATTTTCTCACAGTTCTGGAGGCTGCAAGTTCCAAACCATGGTGGCAGTGTGGTTCATTGCTGGTGAGACCCTTCCTATCTTCCAGGCAGCTTCCATCTTGCTATGTGCTCACATGACCTCTTTGTTCAGAGAAAGGACAGGGAGTGTGTGTGTCTGTGTGTGTGTAAAAGAGAAAGAGAAAGAACAAGTACTCTGGAGTCTATGTTTAAAGGACACTAATCCTTTAGTATCAAGGTACCATCTTATCTCATTTAACCTTAACTGCCTCTTTCAAGACCCCATTTCTAAATACAATCATAGGGTTAGAGCTTCAACATAGAAGGTTGAAGAGCCACAACTCAGTCTTTATCTGGACATGTGCTTTTATTTTTGGTTCCGGGGATTGAACTCAGGACCTTGCGCTTGTGAGACTGGTGGTGGAACCACTGAGCTAAATCCCCAGCCCCATGCTTTTATTTTTTAATATAATCAGAATATACAGTAAGTCCCCAACTTACGGACATTCAAGTTGCAAACTTTCACAGGTGTACTATATAAGACTCACTATATAAGACTCACTCAGCTTACGAATAAATCTGACTTACAAACAGTTCTCCAGGAGCAGAACTCGTCCATAAGTTGGGGACATACTTAAAATAAATGGCAAAGATGTTCAACACCATTAGTCATAAGGGAAATGCAAATTAAAATCACCATAAAAAAAACTACAAACCTAATAGAACAGCTATTATGCCAAGCTACTGTACCACCATTCCCAGTGTTAGTGAGGGTGTGGAGTGATTTGAAGTATCATATACTGCTGGTGTGTATATAAGATGGTACAACCACTTTGGATACCAGTTTGGCAATTTCTTAAAAGTTGAACATACAGGGCCGGGGATTTATCTCAGCGGCACCATGTCTGCCTCGAAAGCACAAGGTCCTGAGTTCGATCCCTGGTTCTGGAAAAAAAAAAAGAAAAAAAAGAAAAGTTGAATTTACACCTTTCACAGGATTTTGTAGGAAGGCTTTCTCTGCCAATCCAGAGAAACAAAATAGTAAGATACTATTCAAACTCTTCAGAAAAAAATCAGTTTTTCAACATGTTTACAACATAATATTCTCTATGTAAAGTTTTGCGTCAGAGACTTTGATCTCTTTTCAGAGATTTTTAAATTTTTTTCTTTCATCAAGATGATATTTTGTTATAATAAGTCTAAGTAAATAAGTCAAGTGACACACTAATTCAGAATACATATAACTCTACAGAAATATGTCTGCCATCTGTGAAGGGCTCTAGGAATCCTCATCCTAGAAGAAGAGATTTCACTTTACATAAAACATCCCCACCCCTGGATGAAACATGTATATCAGAATGCCAGACGCAGAATTCTTTTTAAAGCAGTGTTCCCTTTAGGAAGATGTATTTAAACAAGTCATGTCTTCTGTCATCTTTTTCTAGTTTTACATTTTCTAAACTTCTCAAAGTTAACTGTTACTTGAAAAAAAGAAGAGAAAAAAATCCCTTGAAAATATCAACAATAAGTAAGTAAATAACAGTCACTTAAGTGCCTGAGGATGAGGCAGCAGAATCACCAGGAGGACTTGTTAAAAGCCAGACTCCTGGCCCCACCCTAAGAGCCCCTGACTCTGGGTCTGGAGTGGGTGCTAACAGTTCTCATTTCTAACAAATTCCCAGGCAGTGTTTATGCTGCTGTCTGGCAAGGACAAAGCTCTAGAGAATCTCCTTCCAAAAAATGATCAAAATCATTCTTAATTACTTAGGAATCACTTGGGAGCGGGTTCCTTCTTCACCAGTAGCCTCCTTATTGCTCTACTTCATCCATCAAACTAATCCCTTACAAGGAAAAGAGAATGGAAGACCCTGCCAGAAACAACAGTTTTTAAGGAATGGAAATGTCCCTCCTTTGGTTTCATCATACTATTTATTGCTTATTCTATTTGGCCCCCATACTCACTTTTATTCTAATATTGTATGTGCCCAGGCATAACCAGTTTTTAAGACCATTCTGCCTTCTGATTCACTTCACATGTATGTCATTAACCAGGTATCCTTTAAGTACTAGGGCTTTAGATCCCATTTCTTGAAATGCCTCAAGGGTGTGAGCTGCATCATAGGGAAGTCATCTCCCAAGACTGCCCTGCCATCTAAGCCCTTTCTTCATCCATTGATTTTCAATAAATGTTCTCTGTGGCTACTGAGAATTCTTGTTTTGCGCATTATGTTAGTCACATTTCTGTCACTAGAACAAAATACCTGACATCCATAATTTAAAGGATGAGAGATTCAATTTGGCTCACAGTTTCAGAGGATTCAACCTATGACAAGCTGGCTCCAAGGAAGAAAAGGCATGGTAGAGAAAAGCTGTTCAACCCATGGCAGCCAAAAACAGAGCAGGAAGAATCAGGGAGAGAGAGGGAAGGAAAGGGAGAAGGAGAGGGGAAGAGAGAGGGAGAGGGAGAGGGAGGGAGGGAGGAAGGGAGAAAGAGAGACAGATTCCCCCAAAGATATACCTAGTCCTCAGTAATTCACCTCCTCCAATCAGGCTCTACTTCTAACAACACATTCAGCTATGAACTCCTAAATGGATTGATCCACCAATGAGTATAGTGCCCCCATAATTTGATAGACTTCCAAAAGCCCCTCTTCTGAATAAATGAAACTTTGGGGGTACATTTTAGATCTAAACCATACCATACTGTTATTAATATTTGTTAGTGAATGAACTAAAATGGTCTGTATTTAGCATAAATAATTTAGAACTTTGCTTTTTTTTTTTCTTTTAAACAAGGCCTCTGTAGTTTAGGCTGGCCTCAGACTTCCTAATTCACCCAGGCTGGCTTCAAACTTGTGATTCACCTGCCTCAGCCTCCTGCTTGAGTGCTGGGATTAGTAGAACCTGCACTTTGAAACACTGTAGTCTCCCTTACTGTTCAAATGCAAGCTAGCAAAAATTTAGAGTGGGAAAAGCTAGTTAATTCTTCCCTTAAGGGCTTAAAAAATTTTTTTAACAGACTCATCATTTGCTTACTTAATTGAGAGAGATGTTAAAGATTAACAAGCAGGATAAAATGGATATTTTGATACATTGCTGATAAGACTGTACATTGATTCAGGGTTTTTGTGTTTTGTTTTCCAGCACTGGAGACTGAACTCAGAGCCTTCTCTCTGAGCTACATCTCCAGCTCTTTCTTTCTTTTCTTTCTTTCTTTTTTTTTTTTTTTTAATGAGATAGTATCTTGCTTAGTTGCTAAATTGCCCAGGTTGGGCTTGAACTTGCAGTTC